GATATTTAGAAGCTCTTATGATTCCTACTCTTCCCATGCATGTGCCACTTTTCCTAGTTTTATGGCACAGGCTTCAGCTAGAGATAGATTCCTTCTCTGCTGGTTTGGACAGTAGTTTCTTCTTGTTCCAGCAGCTTTGGAAACTGCCACCCTCCTTAACAGAATGGTTAGTTAACTTAAAGACCACATTATCTCCTTGGTCCTCCACTACCTCATTCCATGCTTGGTACCCACTGTTGAGTGGCTTCTTCATATGGACACTATTTTAATCTTTTAGCCATTTTCATTGCTTGCCTCTAGCTCTTCCTGAGTTTATTCTTATTTCCCTTTACTTGGGGATTAAATAATATTGCTTTCAGTGGAGTGAGAGGATTGCTCAGCTCATTTTACACCTTTGTGGAAGCAGGACTTTCTTGCTGACCTACCACTTGTGACCAACAGCACTTGTGACCTACTCTCCAACTTGCATCTGGAGATTCATTAATTCTGCCTCTTACAGTATTTGACTCAGTACTTTAACCTGTAAGATTTAATGGGATTATTTCCAACTTTTTCTTCAACTTGTTATGCTCATTTTGAATTCTGATGTTTTACTGTGTAAATTAGCTACCCAGCCATGCATTCCAACTTGCATGCAGTGTCAGGACTCTACCATCAGAGTAATTAGTTAATCAGTTAGAAAGCACCAGGCCTGGGACCTATCACTGCTCAGTGGTTCAAAATGCCCATCTCGTAACAGGTGTGGCGTACTAGTGCTTCATCAGCTGTACTCTGTAGAAATAGAGTTTAAATCTTACTTTCCCTCCTTTTTTGCTAACTTTGGGAACCTTCAACACCACAGCTTATTGAATTCTAGAGTTATATTTAGAAGACGTAGAAGCCATAAATATGAACTGCTTTCTAAATCCGGTACAGCAGTAGATTTTGGACTTTCAGAAAAAAATCCTTCACCAGACACGGCCAGACAAATATTTTCAACCACAGCCTAAAGCTGAAAGCGCTCATGAATTCTAATAGCAAAGCAGCACACACTCCAGCGGGGTTCTAATTGACAAAGAGGTAGAAAACTGAAACAAGAAGGCTAGCGTGCCCTTTGGGGAGCTGGCATCCAGCACGGGCCCAGCAGTGCTTCAGGCTCCAGGCCAAATGAAAAGTGTGCCCAGCAGCGTTGCTGCCACATCAGAGCTACAAGCAGGCATCTTTGGCTGGGCTGTCAGGGGCCTATTGGACCCCCTACCAGTGGCAGCACAATTATATATGTGTGTGTATTTTTCAGCAAGCAAGATTCTCAGCTTTCATCATTTTCAAAGGGATCCACGAATCGTAGAGGACTAAGAAGCTCTGTTTGTTAGATAGACAATAATCCAAACCTCCAAAACCAAGAAAATAGATGGTTGAGAATTGATACAACAAAAAAATTCAAAGGAAACAGAATTAACATTTATCGAATGCTAATTGCATGCCAGAGACTCTTGGAGACATCACCTAATCCTCACAATGACCTTTAAGGTAGACAGAGGAGATACTCAAACCCAGGTCTTGCTCTAAAACTACATATTCCCACTACACCACTTGCCTCTGTAAAGAATGAAAATGACCATTCAATTTACCATTGAAGATAAATCAAAAATAAAGATAAGCAAGCTAAAACAACAGGGAAATATTATTTGATATTTAAAATGTTGTTTATATATATATATATATATATATTTTTTTTTTTTTTTTTTTTAATCAAAAGCTTATCTAGTGAATAGGTCCGGTGATTTAGACCAGACCAGGGTCCCAAGCATGTGGGATGGCCCAGGGTGCAGCGTCAAGGAGTGGTTCTTCTTGAGCGGAAGCTTTTCAAGAAACTGAAGAGGATTTAAATGAAACAGTTGTGAGGCCCCCCTTCACTGATGGGTCACTCATGGAACGTGGTCATGTGTTTCTGAACCAAAAGATTTGGTTGACCTAATACATTTTCTCTGTTGCATCTCTGTACTAACTAATGACAGTCATTTCACTTATACATATGTATTAAATTAGGTAAATTCTACTCTATTATACTCTGTCTCTGGGCTTAAGTATTAATTATTTTCTTACAAGCCTTCTTAGCAGTTTAGGAGATATTCCCTCCGCATAACCGAAAGCTTGACTAACACCCTCCCCCCGCCAGTGCTGCTTTCTTACAACTGTAAATCCTGAAATCCACATTGGTCATTGTTTTATAGAAAATATTATTTGAGAATAATAATTTAACAAAAATGCTCACAAATTTTTGAAGTTTTCGATATTCTTTTTTTCTAGTATATCTGACCTAAAACAACATGATCATCTATTTGGCGTACTCTGGGGAGGCTGAGCAGGATTAATTCCTGTCCCGGTGTTGCAGTGTAAACAGCTTTTTGCCTGTCTTTTGTCATTAATGATCACGCTGTAGATGTAGTCAGTGCATTGTAAGCCAATCTGTCAAGGCAAATAAACAATTCACCTTGTTAAAATTCCCTAAATCTTGCATTAATAAAACGAAAGTAACCCCCCCCACCCCCGAACACTCAAGAGATGTCTTCCTCCATGCTGCAGTGATGGATGACATGTCTAAAGATCCTGGAAATTAAGTAGTTCAGGTCATTAAAAGTGTCCCACACTTGTTATTGATTTAATTTATTTTAAAAGATGGGGGTGGAGATAATGGTTACCCCCTCCCCTGTTTTTTTTAATCTGAAAGCTACCACTTGTTCACATAATTAAAACTATTGCCAGGGTGAACAGCTCTGTATTTGTTACAACATTAAGCTTTATTATTCAAATAGGTATTATCCTCTTAAATAGATATCTACAAGTACAAGCTGATAATCACTGCAACTTGTATTATGGCAAAAAAAAATTCCTTGGAACTTCATATGTATCATGATTCCTAGAACCTTTGATTTTGGACACTGAAATAATGACCTTCTGGGCACCCCAAAAATATTCTCGGATAGATAAAAATTTAGATGAAAGCCAAATGGATTGAAGGAAAGAAACAGAAATAGTAATGGAAGAATGCCCCTGGATAGGGGAGGGGTTTTTTTTTTCTCCCCATTTTATGAATTTTTCATTTTTCTACTTTATAATCAAGAAAAAAGTAAACATTTTAGAAAGATGGAGGGATGGATGCGAAGGCATTTAGAGAGTGCAGATTCTGTGTCACTGTATTCTAAGGCAAGTTTAACTTATGTGTGTGTTTACTTGTTTATCACTAATTTTCTCCACCAGCCCACATTCTACTGACCTGTAGTATTCACTGCCATATCCCAGTGCCTAACATAATAGGTGCTCCGTAAATATTTGTTTAACGAATAAAGTATTACCCCAAATATCTTTATTTTCCTCTTTTTTATTTCTTAAACTTCAGTGGGCACAATGGCCATGTAAGGAATAGTAAGAGCCCCAGACAAGGCTGGATCTCCAGATTACCCCTCTCCAGGGACTGAACAGCAGGACGGTTGAGCACTAGTATAGTACAGAGGTCAGTGTGCTAGCACTGGCGATCTCTGTAGTAGCTTATTCCATTTATATGTCCTGAACTGGGTAACAGAATTCCAAAACATGGTAAGAAATGGGGCAGCTCCAGATGTAAATTATGGCTACAAACAATACATTATATAGAATTATGTGTATACAAGAAACACACAATTTGACCTCTTTCACGTGTTATGTATCTTTTGCATCACCTTGCATAGCTGTTCCTGATCAGCTGAGTGAATGACATTTCAGCATCAATTCTCATTGGGTTCTTTTTTGGTTTTTTTTAACATTTTTATTGGAGTATAATTGCTTTACAATGGTGTGTTAGTTTCTGCTTTATAACAAAGTGAATCAGTTATACATACACATATATCCCCATATCTCTTCCCTCTTGCGTCTCCCTCCCTCCCACCCTCCCTATCCCACCCCTCTAGGTGGTCACAAAGCACCGGGCTGATCTCCCTGTGCTCTGCGTCTGCTTCCCACTAGCTATCTATTTTACATTTGGTAATGTATATATATCCATCAATTCTCATTGTTTTTTAAATAATATGTACTTACCGGGGGAAAAAAAGCCATGGTAAATTATAAAAATGACCCTTAAGAATAGTTACATTAATTTTAGAGATTATTGCACAATGTCTGATGCTTTTCCCGTGGTCTTCGTAAAAAAAAAGGGCGGGGGGAGCAAAGGTACAATCATTGCTCTGGCAGACTCTTTCAAAACTAAATATATATGAAAATGCACTCTTACAGTTCTCTATTAGATTTCTCCTTCAAATTGCATAATTTGGATATCTGAGAACTGACATGGTTATGCCATTATGGCAGCTGTTTAGCAGAGCTCCCTAAATGGAAGAACTCTATAGATTTTTTTTTTTTTCAGCATATACACTGATTTACACTTAGTGGTGAAACTGTTACTGACCCTTTAAGTGGAGCTGTCCAAATAGCAATAAATGTCAGTTGATCCTATTGCTGAAACAGGTGTTAGCTGAAGGATCTTGACTAAATCTTCTAGTTAAAAAAGCCGTGTATAGTATTTCCTGAACAGTAGTGGTTTCTTGTAGATAGACACACACACACACACACACACACACAATTTCAGATCACTTTATCACTAAATAAGGAAAACTTGATGTAACTCTCTTAGCAGTATTATTGATGTTCCCAGGTTTTTTAAATACTCATTCTGGATTAGTACCTCCATGAAGGCAGGAACTGTGTCTACCTGGTGCCTGGCTGTCTTGCCCCCCGTCAGCATCTGAAGTATATATAGTAGATGCTCCGTAAATGCTGCTTGGGTGAAAGAATAGATAAAATGGAGCATTTGCTGACACTGAATAACGTGTGTGTTGGCCTAAATTCTTGGTGGGTGAAGTGGGTAATTTTGCTTTGGGGTAATAATGCTGGTAAGAACTTTGATGGATGGTTATGACTTTTCAAAATAGTTTATTTGATTGATTGCCTAGCAAACTTCACTTTCTAATTGTTTTCTGCTTTCACAGGCTGTCATTTTAGAAAATGAAGAACTTCCCAAACTGTTTCTTGATTTCCTAAATGTGCGACATTTGCCCTCTCTACCAAAGGCAGAGAGCTGTGGGTGAGTTGTTTACCTATTGGACGTGTATCTTAAGTTACTTTTCAATCACTTATTGGCCTGACAGATAACACAGGTGGTGCGGAGGGCCAACCTGGCCACACCCATTCTTTTGGCTTGGGACAGCACTCGCTCGCCCCCTGCTTGTAGTCAAAGGAATTGCTCCTGAGTCTTGTGGCCAGGTGACCAACACTCATTAATTCAGGTTTAAACTTGAAGAATTGACTTTTTAAATTATACTTTTATATGGAATGGTGTTACATGATGGGAATTATAAATCTAGATAGCTTATTTAGAGACTAATGTTTATTTGTGAATACTTGTGCAAAGACTGTATCCCCTTGGCACATTTATTCATATAATTTTTAAAGGTGTAAATGATCTTAGAAGTGATTTTATCCAACTCGCTTCATTTTAGAGTTGAGCAAACTGAGACACAGGAATAAAGTGCCTTTCCTAAGGTCGCTTACCTTTTAGCTGGCAGAGCCCAGGCCTCTGGCGTAAGCTCTTTCCCCACTGTCCTGCTGCCTCTCCCTCAGGAACTTCTAAATGAGGGGGCTGCAGATCCTAATCCCTCTCTACCAAGAAACCAGACATCTGATATCAGCAGCAACTGGGAAAAGTTCTTCTGAAGAATTAACTCTGAAACAAGCCACTCGCCCAGCTCTTGGCACCTGTGTTGATCTGGCCTCCGAAGGCAGTCGGCAACATCTCTTACATGTTAAATCTATTTACAAAGAACCACGTCATCACAAAGTCTCTGCAGATCCAAGTTGGGGAGAGGGTTCTATCCATTTTCTTGCTGCCTCCAGACCTGCCTGAATGACTCACACTAACTACAAGATGTTCAAGCTAACCACACCCAAAGTTGTGTTAAAACCCAGCCATCCGCTGGATGAGAGGCTAACACCTGTCACAGCTCCCTCACCAGCAGTGTTTACTCGGGGCCACTTTTCAGTCACCTCAGAACAAGAATCGTACACCGCACTCACCAAGTCATGTGTATGGTCAGTGCTTCCTGTTCCAGCTTGGTGCATTTGCTGGGAGGTTGGGCTTCATATGTAGTTGTGTATTTTTTAAGAAGAGATAGTGGGAATGAAATGAGTGAAATCTTTTCTCCATTATATAAGTCCAAAAGCAAAACCATAGGATTTCTGAGTCATCTCCAGGAAAATTGAAATTCAAGAATATTGCAGCCTTGGGGTTCCTTAGAATGAGGCATCAGCCACGCTGTGACTCTGTGAAAATACCTAAGTCTCTTTTCAAAATGTCTCCCAATTCAGAGCTCTAAGAATACTGGCTCTTTCTTCCTTTGTTGACATAAATACTGACCCAACTTTTATGGTCTTCTTTTCTTTTTAAAAAAAATTTAGATCTTTTGACGAGACAGAATCTGAAGAGTCAAGGTAAGAACAAACACCAGTCAGTCAGGAGTTATACAAACCAAGAATAAGACTAAGGTTTTGTTAAACATTTACTTACCATCATCTGATTGTTTCAAGTCAAGGTTTTCTTGAAAACCTTTGCTAGAAAATTGATTTTAAGACGATAAATATTTGATGGGAAGTTACAGAAGTAACCATTCTATTTTAAGGCTAGAGGAATAAAGTCCTACATTATTTCATACAAGTAATAAGAATACATTTCATCAATAATCGTACTACAAGATTTAAAAAAAAATCACTTTGCAGCAGTGATTTATGGTATAGATTGTCTATCTGCTTCGAATTCCACAAAGACATGTTTGGAAGATGGGCGCACTGCTGGTTTGTCCCTCCAGCTCTGCTTGCTATTATTCACCCGTACCGTTAGATACATAAACCTTGAGGTGTCCCCGCACAGCAGTTTGATCCCCTCAAAGCTAGTTTGTAGTGTTTTCTGTTTACCATCGTCCCCTGATGCTGACATGCCTGTTCTTGACCTTTCCAGCAAACTGTCCCACCAGCCGGTGCTGCTGTTCCTCAGGGATCCATACGTCTTGCCTGCAGCCAGCGGTAATCAAACCTGTCATCTGCTAACAGCTCTTTACTGATCTGACCCTACACCACATAAACCACGTTTTTAATACAGGTCTAACAGAGTGACATTGGCCAGGGCTTAATAATCTGCCAATAAACCAGTGCTCTTGGTGTAAGAGACATTCAGAATTTTAATTGGGGCAGGCCTTTCAGGAGGAAATGTAATTTTTCTTTCTCTTGCCAGGCTGTTTTGAATTAGAGTAATAAGAGGGAAAGGGATTTATTGTCCTTAATTTTGGGGGTGGTGTTATTTTGGCTTCTGCTGGTTTTTATCTAGGGTTTGAATCCAAGGTTCCGGTCCTTTTTTTAAATGCTTCTTTCCAAAAGCTGTGTATATACGTTCCATGCGTATCTCCATTTCCATTTAGATAACAGCATCTTTGACAGTCAGATACACATTTTTAAAGTTGTATCTTTAAGTATAATGAATTAATTTAAGCGTACATGTAATTTGGTATTTTAGCCCGAGTCCTTTCTTTGTGCCAAGAAATTTAAATGATTCAGAGTGTCTCTCAAAGTGTCCTGATATGCAGCTCTTCATGAGTACGTTCTCAGACATTAGCTCATTTAATTTCCTTAACAGCCTCATGAAATAGGCAGGGCAGATATCATCATTCACTCCTGAGCAAACTGGGGCTCAGGGAGGTCCCTGATTTGCCCAGTCTCACAGGTCTGGTGAGTGGATCCCTTTTTGCCTAATCTCTCCTTCTGTGCTCTTTGCATATAGTGAATTTTCAGCCTTTGTTTCTGAGGGTAACTAAATAGCATAGCAGCTAAATAGCAATAGATAAATTATCTATGGACACCATTCCTACATCCTGACAATAAAACCTTATCATCAGCAAGAGAGAGGGGACTGTTCTCTGTGGCAGGGATGCTTGTGTGCTCAGATCACCCACTTAGCTATCAGTTTAAAGAAGGCCGACTAGGACACAGCCCCGCTCTGTTGAGGGACCGTTCTAGAAGAAAGCTGCCTTTGCTATACAACCACACATGAATATGGTCTCGTAGTATTTTCTCTATAAAATCCCTTCAGTGAGGAATAATCCCCTTTCTTTAACATTTGCTTCCCATGTGTAAGAAATATACCTGGTGTGTTAGTTGATATTATGTTAACAAGATGTTACATTTAACAAATATTCATGATGTAACCTAGTCTGGATTAAGTGGGCAGTGGTCTTTTTTTCTCAACCAAATGAACTTCCTTTTTTTTTTTTAATACAGCAGGTTCTTATTAGTCATCAGTTTTATACACATCAGTGTATACATGTCAATCCAATCTCCCAGTTCATCACACCACCACCTCCACCCACTGCCGCTTTCCCCCCTTGGTGTCCATACGTTTGTTCTCTACATCTGTGTCTCAATTTCTGCTCTGCAAGCCGGTTCATCTGTACCATTTTTCTAGGTTCCACATATATGCGTTAATATATGATACTTGTTTTTCTCTTTCTGACTTACTTCACTCTGTATGGGGCAGTGTTTTATGAAGTATTCTTACTAGCTTTTAAAAATGGTTCCACAAGTACTTTCTCCAGGTATTGTTTTTGCTCAGATATTTTAAGCATTTGACTGAAATTCCTATAAAAGTGTAGAGAGTAGAACGATCACTGTGGACTGGAGTAGCCAGGATGCTTCCTGGAAGAGGGCAGATATTTTATGATCCTTAAATCCGATTCATCTAACTTCTTAAGCAGCATGTGCTGTGCACTTGGCTTGACCATGAAGAACGGGAGGAACTTTCTGGGAAAGAGCCTCAGGGGCAAATGTCTGGAGTTAGACAGAATAAGAGGTATGGATCATTGGTAGAATATTGATGTAGTTGAACAACTTGCACAGAAAGGGGATTCCTCCTTGAGAGTAAATGTCAGTCATGAATTTAATGTAAAGGACGGAACGAAGTATGAGAGAGCCAGCCACTACATCTCCTTTTGTGGAACTTTGGCTGAGCCCATGTCATAAATCAGATTCCTATTGTCTTAGAAGTATTATACTAGTGATACATTATTGCAACTCTTTAGCATTTAATTTAAAGATAAATTTTACTTGCATCACATGTTCGTGTTCTAAGGCCTCTTAACAAAATGTTGAGGTTTCTGTTCCAGGTACAGAATCTGGAAGTACCTTCACAGATACACTGACACCCATAAAAATCAGAGGAGTGTCTGTCTTTAAAATTCTGACAGTTAAACACTATCCTCATATAAAATGCTAAAAATAAAACATTATTCTCTTAGCATATGCTTTTTGGCCTTCGTTTTGAGTTTTCTGGGGAATTCGAAATAACTTTGGCTCAGGTCCCCAGCGACTGCAGTGTGGCTAAACTCCGTGGACTTTTCTCAGTCCTCCTCCTTGACCTCTCATTAACTTTAGCCACTGCTGACCACTTTCCCCTCCTTCAGACACCATTTCCCCTTGGCTTTCCCACCTTCCTGCTTTTCTTCCAGGCTCTGGCAGCTCTCCTGAAGGCTGTCTGTCCTAGACCCTCTGCTCTTCTCATTTTACTTTCTTTGGAACAATCTCCTTGCTGTGGCCTTGATGGCCTTGAGTATACAGCTGAGTCACAATACTATTTTTCTATCCCAACCCTCTGTGAGCCCCAGACTCTCACCGTGGTTGAAAAGGCCCCCCGTGGGCTGGCCCTGGCCCACATGTCTGCCGGGACCCCCTCACACACTCTGGTCCAGCCACACTGCAGTTCTTTCTGGGCCTCAGATGCGCTGAACTCATTCCCCGCAGGGCACTTGCTGTTTCCTCCTCCTGGAACCCTCTTGTCCTCACACATTGTTGGCCCTCTCCTCTTTCAGGTGCATCTTCAGGGAGCCTTTGCTGGCTCTCCTTTCAAGTAGCCTCCAAGAGCCCCTCCACCCCCTTACTTTTTTTTTTAAGCTTCACAATAAATGTTTATAAAAATAAATGAAAACCAACAAAACCTTTCCCAAATCACATTCCTTCTCATCACCTCTCAAAGGGAAGCAAAGGTAAGGGCAGTTTTCTGAGTAATTTAAGCAGTGATGGACATTGTATCAAATGATACATGGAATGAAGCCAAAATCCAGTTTAGAGTGGAGTAAACTGTAACAGATGAGGAAAAAAAAAGACCTCTGATTATCTCATCAGTTACTAGTTGGTGGACCTCATTATAAAATATCGCTATTCCATTCACTTTTATCAGAGCGCCCTATTTGCTTCCTTTAGAACAATGATCACAAATTGTGTTGCCTTCTCTCTCTCTCTCCTTCTGTCACCTTCACCCTCTAAATCTCCAGCATCTAGCATATGCTTAGCGCTTGCTGGACAGTGAGCACAGGGCCTGGGCATGCTCTGCTCCCTCTGTGGGATTGCTCTTCATCCAGACACCCTCACAGCTGGCTGCTACACCGCTTCACTCAAATGGCATCTTTGCACAAAGGTCCTTCTTCACCTTCCCGTCCCCTATCACTCTCTGGCCCCGTGCCCTGCTTTATTTTTTCTCCTTGCCTTTAAACCACTGCTTGACCTATTAGAGTGCTGTAGAATTACCCAAAGTATTTCATGTTATTTTCCTTTTTGTCCTTTTTGCTGAACTTACTGATTTGGATCAGAATGTTTACACTAAATAAGCTTATGATATCACTAACCTTAAGCAGACTCTTATATTTTGAGTGGTAAAGGATAAATGCATATATGCTGTTGCATGTAATATGTCTAATTTGGGCATTTTATTGAAAATTAATCAACAGCTTCATTTATGGCTATTGGTATCAATACACGTCTGCGTGTGAGAAATGTGTTTGGAATTAAAATTAACTTAGCTGAGTCATGGCTTTTGATCGGTATCTAAGTATGTAGGTATAAGTCCACTGCAAACTTTTAAAGATATGTTTTATTAAAAATTATGTGACTTCATGTTGGGTAAAAGCAAACATTAAGAAATCAAGTGAGTGTCATCAACCAAAAGTAATTGAGTACTTGTGTATTGGAGATATTTTAAAAACACATTTTTTTTTTTTTTGTGGTACGCGGGCCTCTCACTGTTCTGGCCTCTCCCGTTGCGGAGCACAGGCTCCGGACGCGAAGGCTCAGCGGCCATGGCTCACGGGCCTAGACGCTCCGTGGCATGTGGGATCTTCCCAGACCGGGGCACGAACCCGTGACCCCTGCATCGGCAGGCAGACTCTCAACCACTGCGCCACCAGGGAAGCCCAAAAACACATTTTATTTGTTTATTCACTTGTCTCCCTGACTAGCATGTAAGTTCCATGGCAGGCACTGTTACTTACTTATATTCCCAGTAATTAGGCAGTGCTTGGTATGTGATAATAGCTGGTACTTACCATGTGCCAAGTTCAGGTCCAAGCACTTTGTTTCATTCATTAATTTTTACAACAGCCTGTTAAGTAGGTACTGTTATGAAATCCCTCACTACTACCATCGAATCCATCACCACTCTGAACTTGCTCCAGTCGCTCTTTGAATGGCAGCCACAGTCATCTTTTCAAAACAATTCATTGCTGTCTCACTCTGCTTGAAATCCCTCAGTAGCTTCTCATTGCTTTTCATATAAAGCCAGAATTCCTGTCCATTCTTACCAGGCTTGAATTGCCCCCCTGCCCTTACAGCCACTCCACTTGCTACACTAGCCTCAGGCTCCTGCCTGCCACAGACTTTCCACCTCGTCAGCGCCCTCTCCTGAGCCCTCTCCTCCAAGAGCCTGATGAGGTCCAATCCCCTTGCAAGTGGTTTTATGTAGTAGGCACTCTGTAGAGGTTGAATTAATCAGTGAACATATTATTTGGAAGCTCAAAGTATTGGGCCACTTAATTTCCTTATATATTAACTATATTTATTTAAATCCTAGATATAATTATGTGCAGACTAAAGTTTATAAATGAAAATTCTGAACCGTGTGATAGATTGGTTCTCCTGTTCAAGTTATCTGTTCATATTTTACCTGCTGTGATGACTAAACTGAGATACAACATAACATACGCCTCTGAATTTCCTTTGCATTTCCTATAAAAATGTAGCTGATTTTTCAACTTTGACAAGTGTGGCTTTTGTCAGGAATCTGCCCTTTTACGTTAGGAAGGCAGGCCCCTGTCCTCCTGCTCTCTAGAAGCTAGTATAATAGAACAAGCATACTCAAGACCACTTGGACTAAAGGCCACTGTAAACCACAGCGGAAAAACTGCAGCAAAGTATTCCCAGTAGAAATCTTGGAATTCCTTCAAGTATATTGAGATTTTGTTAGAAATTGAATTGCCAGTGTAATCCATCTTCCTTGGGAGAAAACATTCAGATAAAGAGTTGGGGCCTAGCAGCATTAACCATTAGAACATCCCTTAAATCAATAAGCTACAAATCTGGCCGTGTATTCCTGCAGCGCCTGGTGGTACACTCAAGTGGCTCGAGGCCGAAGCAGCATGACTGATGGCACATCCGAAACAAGGGCAAACTGTATGGTGATGCAGATCCCTGAGTTATGCCTAGGCCTTACCTTGTTTCGTTCTACGAGATGCACGTATGTTTTATTGATGTACATAAGAAAAGCAGTTTTACTTTTGTTTTTCAGATTTTCCAAATGTGGTTATTGAAGGAGTTCTCCATGGGATATTTTACCCTCATCTACAGCCCAGGTAGAAATCCTCCATGCCTAGAAGAAGCTGAAGCAAGTTTCGCAGTCGTAGTCAAGGAAATCGATACCTACCAAATTAACCTAAACTCTATGACATAATGGCTCTCGCTAGTGGTAAAATTCACAGCAGCAGCTTAATTCAGAGCAGGGACATTTCCATTAGAATGGTGCTTTTAAAAATAGAAACTGAACCAGGGCGGTGCTGAGGTTAAGGCCAAGTGTTTAAGAAGTAGAATGTAGCTGCCAATTTAGAAACCCAGGAAAAGAAAGCTAAAGAAGATCTTTGGGAGCTCCGAGTGTAGCAAAACAGTTACTGTCTGCTTCAGTCACACCATTTGCTAATTGAAAATCTTATCCCGAATCATAGTGAGACTGATCAACTTTGGTAGCTGTTTTGTTCAGATTTTATGACACACTAATCTTTTCATCATGAGATTTTTCTCTGCCAGTGATGGATAACATTCTGAAGTGCTGGCACCAGGAGAGCATCACAGAAACACACTGTGCCAAATGTGAGGAAGGGACTAAACTGGAAATGAAATTATACTGACAATATTAGGGCATTTTTAAAATCATGGCATTTTAATTTACATTACAGTGGAGCTGCGTCATATGCAGGGGTTAGCTTCTAATGTCGGCACATAAGATAAAATGGGGTCTCAAGATTATCCTTGAAAGCCCTTTAGAATGGTGCCATATTGGAAATCTCCATCCACGACAGCCGGTTTTTCCTCCAGTGTTGGAAGAGGTAACTGTTTCTTCCGTTGAAGACCAATTGAAGTTGTTGGTGTTTAGGGGCTATTTTGTAGAAAAAAACACATAACTTTAAACACTAGAATGATACTTAGCCTTGCAAGATGCTTGCCCTCTAAGAGACAGATATGAACTTACAGTGACTGAGGGAACACCAGACTGACAACACTCATCATGGTTTACTTGAGGGCATCCATTCATTGAATAGGTGGTACATAATTGCCAGATTGATTGTTATTTTCCTTATTCCTTATTGTTTCCTTTTCACTGATCTCATGTACTGAATTAAATTAAATGTGTTTATGATATAACTCCACTGTACATCTTACAGACATTCAGATTTTGAGTAGTAAAGGATAAAAGCATATATGCAGCCTGTATATATGTGCCATATTTGGACATTTCCTTGAAAACCAGTTAATAGCTAGACTATTTATGGTTATTAGTTAATAAGCTTCTGTGCGGGAGAAAAATATTTAGATATAAAACTAATAATTAAATCATGGTTTTTGATTAGAATCTAAATATACAGGTTTAAAGCTTGCTGCAGACTCTTAGAGATTTATTTAAGATAGATGTGTTACTACATGCTGGAAATAAGCAAGAACTAAATAATCAAGTGTCATCAACCAAAAATGACTGAATAGTCAAGTGTTGGAGATATTTTCTAAATGTTTTTGTTATTAGCTATTTTGAGTTAAATAAAAATGAAGAACAAGAAGTGTTTGGATATGTCTTGTACTGCCAGGATTTTATTGGAAACATAAATTGTGTCTTGTCTCTTTATACACACACACACACACACACCTACACACACACCTTCTCACATATTCATATAGACATTTACTTCTAATCTGACAAGGTAACTGTTAAATACCTCATCTATTAAGCCAATAGGTACTCATTAAGTAGTTGATTTACCAAGATAGATAGTGAGGGTTTTTAAAAAAAATAAAGCCCAAGAATCTTTGGTAGCACACTGCTCAAGAACTTTGGTGGCACTACTACTCTTTTTTGAGAATTGAATTTTTTTTTTAGTGATGACTTTCTAATTTTTATTTAAATGTTTAATATTCCATTTCAATTCCATTGCAGGAAATAGAAACCACAATAGGTATTTTAAGCAGAATGGAATAATAAGAAGCAGTGCTTACAGAATCTTTTGGAAGGATGAGGGGAATGAACTCCTGGTGGGTCTCTAGGCACGACTTCCAGAATGCTCCAGCAATTTCCAGTACCCGCCTGCCAGGGGAGCTACAGCCTCTGTCTTTAGCAGGAATTCAGGGAGTTGGGAGGCTGCTACTGAAGGTATTGAAGTCAAAAACAGCACATGTAGCTTCGATCCAGGGATCAGCACGTAGGATCAGGAGGTAACTTACTACCGTAACTACCTCATGGCAGCACCCAGGAAGCTGGTGACTGGGCACTAGAACAAAGTGTTCAGCTGTCACCACCTATACCACAGTTGCCTCTCAACGCCCATGACTTTGCTTGTCAGCAACCGCAGCCTAAAGCAGCAGGAAGATGGCATTCACCCACTTCCATCTTTTACAGCTCATGAAAGCACATGCAATTGGCAGAACCTTATTCTTGATCCCCAACTTCAAGGGAGTCTGGGAAGGAGTTGGAACTTTCTGGTGTCAGCACCTCAGAAATACACATTGGAAAGAGGATGGAATATATTTCCACAGTCAAAATTTTAATAAAAACATATGAAAGGATATATAAAAAGAAAAGTCTTCTCCCATCCTGTCTCCTAGATTCCCAGTTCCCCTCCCAGAGACAACCACTGTTCTTGGTTTACATATATACTTCCAGAGATATTTCATCCACATGCAAGCAAATAATGTATATTTACTGTACATATATTCCGTTTCCCCTTTTTTATGAAACATGGATATTTCAAAGCATGGATTCGTAGCCAATAAAGAAGTAAAGAATAGAGGGAAGAAAACAGAATAAAGAGGAAAAGAAATCCTCTTACCACTTAAGCCAGGATATGGGGACAGCCCTCACACTCCCTTATCCCTCGGTTCTTGGATTTGATGGTTTGCCTGGGGCTGATCTCAGAATGTCCCCCAGTTGCTGTTGTATGCAGAGTCTTTCTCAGGCCTAACCTCCATCACCTGGCAAATTTGCATATGGCAGCCCCGGTGTCCCTTCTCCTGGTGTCCTCCTCCTCTCCTCCATTTCAAACAGCGGGCCATGTATACAAATGGCACCAATAACACTGTGACTATCCCCACATGGTAAATTCTTCAGTCATTTCACTTTGAAAAGTATAGAAATCTCACGATCACAGTTTAGGAATAACAAATGGCTTTCATCTCATTTGTCAACTCTGATCAATTGATAATGGCTCATAAAGCACTCAGGTAAGGATTCTGACACACCAATTTGAGTGGATACTATCCAAAGAAAGCAGAAAATAACAAGTGTTGACAAGGATGTGAAGACTTTGAAACCTTTATACATTGCTGTTAGGAAGTAAAATAGTGCAGCCTCTGTGGAAAATGGTATGGCAGTTCTTAAAAAAATTAAACATAAAATTACCACATGATTTAGCAATTCCAGTTCTGGATATATACCCAAAAGAAGTGAAAGCAGGGACTCGAGCAGTTATTTCTACACCCAAGTTTTTTGCCAGCATTATTCACAACCAAAAGGTGGAAGCAACCCAAGTGTCCACTGATGGATGAATGGCTAAAATGTGGTCTATACATACAGTGGATTATTCAGCCTTAAAAAGGAAGGAAACTCTGACACCTGCTACAACACGGATGAGTCTTGAAGACATTATGCCAAGTGAAATAAGCCAGTCACAAAAGGATGACTACTGTGTGATTCCACTTATCTGAGGTACCTGAAATAGTCAAACTCATGGAAACAGAAAATAGAGTGGTGGTTGCCAGGGGCTAGGGGGAGGGGAAAATGGGGAATTAGCGTTCAGTGGGTTTCAGCTGGGGAAGATGAGAAAGTTCTGAAGATGGATGGTGATGGTTGCACAACAGTGTGAGTGTACTTAATGCCTCTGAACTGTACATGTAAAAAATGGTAAATTTTATGTTGTGTAATTTTACTACAATTTTTTTAAAAAGCTTTTTTAAGAAAAGGATTTTGAGTGAATACAGGCTCAGTGAGTAAGAGTATAGCAACCAATTAGTGATATTTGTCTAGGGTGCAGGAGGAGTTTGGGCAGACATACCAGGTGCTATTCTTGTATCCCTGACAACCTCTGAGATTCTAAACCAATAGTTCTAAACCAGAGATGTGCATCAGAGTCACCTAAAATTCTGAATCAATAAATCTGGGCTGGGGTCTGTCCTTGGGTACTTAGAGAAACTTCTCAGTTGATTCTGAGACACACATAGGTTAGGAACCACTGTTTGAGTGATGTGAGAGATGGTTTATGAACTCCCCTTCTTTGGTGATTATTGGCTTTCCTACCTCCTGCAGAATCTACTATGAAAAGAATGGCAGTTCAACTCTCACAGTATTGCATGTGGCCATGGGGAGGAGGGACTTGTCTTAGTCCATTCTGGCTGCTGTAACAAAAATACCATAGACTGGGTGGCTTATAAACAACAAACATTTATTTCTCACAGTTCTGGAGTCTGGGAATTGTAAGATCAGGGCACTGGCACATTTGGTGTCTGGTAAGGGGCTCTCTTTTTCATTGTGTCCTCACATGGCGGGAAAGGTACCAGGGATCTCTATGGGGCCTCTGTCATAAGGGCACTAATCCCTAATCACCTCCCAAAGGCCCCACCCCCAAACATCATCACATAGGAGATTAGTTTTCACCATATGGATTAGGAGGGGGTGGGGGGAGCAGACACAAACAGTCTATAGCAGGACTCTTTGAAGAAGCAGCAAGGATGACAGACAAGTTTGGGTAGTGGTTTCAATAGACACCCTATGTGAGTATGTATTCATTTACTCATCCACTCATTCAGTGAAATGCATTTGAGATTTCTTGCTGCACTAAGGCATGGTGTTAGTTATCTAAAAATAGAGGGCTTCCCTGGTGGTGCAGCGGTTAAGAATCTGCCTGCCAATGCAGGGGACACGGGTTCGAGCCCTGGTCTGGGAAGATCCCACATGCCGCAGAGCAACTAAGCCCGTGCACCACAACTACTGAGCCTGTGCTCTAGAGCCCGCGAGCCACAACTACTGAAGCCCGCATGCCACAACTACTGAAGCCTGTGCACCTAGAGCCCATGCTCTGCAACAAGAGAAGCCACAGCAACGAGAAGCCCTCACACTGCAACAAACAGTAGCCCCCACTTGCCGCAACTAGAGAAAGCCCATGCGCAGCAACGAAGACCCCATGCAGCCAAAAATAATAAATAAATTTATTTTTTTTAATAAATAAAGAATAGAGACAAAATCCTTGTTTTCTGGAATTTTGGGCCATTTACTAGGGAATGTCTTTCCATTTAACTGAATTGGATGTAGAGTTCAGTGATTAGGACTATCTTCTCCAGTCTCTCTACTCAGCTTCAAAGCAATCACTTTCATCTTGGCTTCGTTTTGGTTTTCATCCTTGATGATAATTATAGATTTTGAATTCAGCAGCAGAAACCCAGGGAAGTAGCAGACACTAACTCAAAACAGAAAATTCTGCAACATTTATGTTTTCTGTCCATACAGATGCAGAGTGACGTTCTGGATTGGTGATGAGGGTGAAGAGGTATTTATTTTTGTGTGAGGCGGAGGAGGGTACATTGAAATGTTAAGCCTTTGAAGTACATGTAATTGACTGTAGAAAATTTTGTTTTATATTCTCAGAGTATAATTGTAAATCTGACCCATACAATGTGAAACACTTTCTGCCTTCTTCTACTCTAACATCAGCCATGGTGCCATCAACAGTGTCTCCAGCCCTGATATTCTCTTCACTTAGATGCTGTTACGTAGTGAGCTCCTCTGGGCGCCACATGTTGTGAGACTAAGGCCATTATAACTGGACAAAGCTTTTACAAACCTTTATAGAAGAAGAAAGCAAAGATCGGAGTGACTAATAAGTAGCTAACATGATAAGGCACTAATTTGGGCTAAGTTCTATCCACAGGTTATCCCATTGAAGCCTCACAACATCTTTCTGAGGTATGTATTCTTATTTTTTCCACTCTACAGTGAAAAAAATGAAAGTAGAAAGGCAAGATAGCTTGACTAAGGCCACCAGTTAATAAAGGGGATCAGGATTTGCACTGTTGATCCACACAGTTCAGGCTAAGCTAATCCACCCCACCCCCGCCCCCGTCAGCCTCACGTTAGAACTGTTTGTATTTATGTGCATTTTTGAACAACACATGAATACTCAGGTCGGAAAGAACTAGTATTGGGACAATTGCTCATCTTTCTACACTACATTATAAATCAGAGTGCTGCCCCATCTCCCTTGATTAAACCAAGCTCTGTGCTCTCAGCTGCAGCCTCCTCCCAGGTCTCTCTGCTTCCACTTTTACTCTAGTCCATCCTCCACATGAGAGCCAGAGCCATCTTTTTAACATGTCCATCAGATCATGTCACTGTTGCTCACAATTATCCAGTAGCTTCCATCCCCACTTAAAATCTAAACTCCTGCCACCCTCTCCCAAGTTCCTCGCCCTCCTCTTCCTGGTATTTATCTCACTGGCGACATTGGTCTTTCTCTTCCCAGGACTTGCCAACCTTGGTTCTCACTTAAGCCCTTTGAACCTGCTGGTCTCTGCCTGAAATACCCTTCTCACCTCTCATCAGAAGACTGGCCCACTCTGACATCAACTTAGATGTCCCCTCGTCCAAGAGCCCCTCCACGTCACCCAATCTTATGTGGCACCCCAACTCTCACCCTGCCCCATTCTATCATAGCACACTCGTATTCTGTCATAGCAGTTACCACCGTCTGTAGTATTCTGTTGATTTGTTTAAGGTCTTTCTCCCCCTCCAAAGAGCATGAGCTCCCTGAGGGCAGGGGCAGCTAACGACTTGTTTACCCTGTTTCTCAGTGGGGGTGGGGAGGTGCGGGAGTAGATCCCAGAATCGCTGCTGAAGCAGTGGGTGTTCCCATCAGCCA